TCTCTCCAGGGCGTGTGTCTACTTGAGGTAAATGTTTAACTCACATGCCTGTACTTTGTTTGGCTGGAAACCACAGGTGTGGGTTCAATTCCAGACTTGAAGGGCAACTAGGGGCCATAGTCTCAGTGGTTCCACTAGGCTCTATTGGACCAGCAAACCTGGTCACGGGGAATATTTTTCATTTAAGTTTTAGAGATTATCTCAGGGCGGTAGTTGCAGGGGTTTATCTAGTCCTTTGGATCCAGAAAATCTGGATTCCAGGAGAATTTGAAATTCTGTTCTACATCTCCCCCTTTGGGTCAGGTTTTTTTCCATAGAATCTTTGATCAAAATGTTCAGTAATGGTCACCAAGCACCATCCAGTTCTGGTCTCATGGCAAAGGAAACAGTTATTCTCATAGAGGCAATTAGCCACACATTCCATATCCTCTTCTATTCTGACTCTCTTTCCTCTTGCACCAGGCAAATAGAGACAGATCCCAAGGCCACTTGCAAGCTTTTAAGACTCCAGGCACTATGTAATGAACTGGGAAGGTGAACAGAAGCACTAAACATGTTATTACACCAATTAACTGGAAAGTCCATGAAACTATGCCCCTAAACTTCCAAACCAAAAACTACATCCCATGAGGTGTTTGGTTGTACACAGTCAGCCTCAGCAGCTACTCTTTTGTTGTTATAAATTATCTATCCCACAACTTTTGCCAATTCAACTTTTTACAGGTGAACAGCTTATTGACAGCAATGACAATAATTGGCTACGTAACCCTACTTTTGTGTAACCCTACTCTTAATCAATGCAATTTGTCCATCACCACCATTAACCCCTTTATTCTCCCTTCCTCCAGACCCTGGTAATCACTAATACACTTTGGTTTCTACACATTTTTCTTTGCTTGCTTTTTTTTTTTAAAATATAAGTGAGGTCATATAATATCTGTTCTTTTAAGACTGACTTACTTGACTCAGCATAATGTTTTCAAGTTCCATCCATATTGTAGCATGTATTAAGACGTCATTTCTTCTACTAAGTAGTATTCATTGTCTGTATGTACTACATTTTGTTTACCCCGTCATCCGTTGATGGCCATTTAGGCTGTTTCCAACGTTGGCTGTTGTAAATACTGCTGCAGCGAACATGGCTGTACAGGTTTCTGTTTGCTGCTCTGCTTTTGTGTTTTGGGTATATACCTAGAAGTGGAATATGGCACCATATGGTAGCTCTAGGAGCCCTGGTGGCGTAGTGCTTAAGGCATTTGACTGCTAACCAGAAGGCTGGCAGTTCAAACCCACCAGCCACTCCTCGGAAGGAAGGCTGGGCAATCTACTTCTGTAGTGATACTGTCTGGGAAACCCAAGGAGGGGTCACTATGAGCGAGATATAACTCAACGGCAGTGAGTTTGGTTTTTTTATTTTAGTCACTTTAGCCTCTTACCTGTCCCTTTGTTCCTCTTGTGAGAATGCTTTTTAGTTCATGCTGTTTCCTCTGCCTGGACTGCTCTTCCTTCTGCTTGCTGCTCAGTTAACTCCTGCTTCTTCATCAGAACTCAGGTCAAGCCTAGCTTCCTGGAGAGCTGACAAGGGCCAGTCCCCCATCACAGACAGACTCTCACTCAGCTGCCCAAATCGCTCCATAGAATGTGTCCAGTTGTAACTTCACTTTGCTTGTGTGGTTTGTTTTTAAGCTACCGCTTATAAGGGGCTTTCTAAGCACCAGTCACTGTTCTAAGGCCTTTATCTGTATAACATCCCTGTGTTGAAGGTACTGTTATTTGTTCCATTTTGCAAACGAGGAAACCTAGCTTGGAGTGATCTGCAGGGACAGCGGTGGGTGTATCAGGGTGGTAGTGAAAGGCCCCTGTCCCGGTGCCTATGGAAATCTTGTGGGTGTCCTGAGTGGCATGTCCTGGGGACTGTGGCACATGGTCTTCAAGACAAGCAGAGCTAGGGCCAAATCCTGGTTTCTAAACCCATTGCTGTCAAGTCACTTCTGACTCATAGTGATCCTATATGACGGCGTAGAACTGCCCAATAGGATTTCAAGACTAATCTTTATGGAAGCAGACTGTCACGTCTTTCTCCTACAGGCCAGCTGGTGAATTCTAACTGCTAACCTTTTGGTTAGTTGGCACTGTGCCATGAGGACTCTATTACTTTTTAATTCAGTGACCTGGGCAAATCAGTTGTCTGTCTGAACTCCATTTTACCCAGTGGATAAGGCATCTGGCTGTTAACCAGAAGGTCAGCAGTTCAAACTCACCAGCCACTCTGCGGAAGGAAGATGGAGTAATCTAATTCCATAAAGATTTACAGCCTTAGAAATCCAATGGGGGTTGATATGAGATGAAATCAACTCAATGGCAGTGAGTTTGCTTTTTGGTGGCACCATTATTCCATAGTTGTATGTTCTTGGACAAATCAGTTTTCTTCTCTAAATCTCAGTGGTATCATCTATAAATATGGGGTTATTCTGAGGGGTAATAAAGACAGTGCGTGTCTAATGGTTCACTGTCTTCCCAGTTCCCTGGGAGGCAGACTCTGAGGTGGAGACTGGCATGCAGGTGAGTTTATGGGGACCTTTCTCAGGATCAGTACCTCTCGGGAAAGACAAGGGCGCAGACTGTGCAGCAGGATATGCTCAGCTGTGGTGCAGTCTCACAGGGGAGCTTGGAGTGGAGATGACGCTTCAAAGGTGTCCTAGTTCGAAGTGACGAGTCTGGATCTTTCTACTCTCTGCACTGGATGCAGGCTATCCTCCAGGAAAGAGGCAAGACCTGTGGCTCTCTTCAGCCAAGGGCAATCCCTGAAGAGGGCTGACAGCCAGTATCACACTGAGCCATA